AAAAAACAAAAAACAAAAAACAATTGCCCCATTGTATATCTAAAACAAATGAAATCAGAATGAAGAAACATTTGCACTTCTAGGTTGTTTGCAGCACTCTTCATGTGTAAAATATATAAAATCAACAGTTCAACACTGAATGAGTAAATAAAGACAATGTGGTAGATATACACAATGGAAGACTATTAATCTTTAAATAACAAAAATTATATTATTTTCAATCACAGGGATTAAACTGGAGGACATTAAATTAGTTGAAATAAGCGAGGCACAGAAAAATTCATGTCTCGTGATTTCACTTACACATGGATTCTAAAAAAGTTAATCTCATTGATGTAGAGTAAAATGGTGACCACCAAATGCCAAGGTATTTATTTAGAAGAGACGAGGGGATTGATAAAGGTCTGTCCAAGAACACATAATTATACTTGGATAAAAGAAATAATTTCAAGAGATTTATTGTACAGTATGGTGACTATAGTTCACAACAATGTATTTGTATTTTTGAAAAATGCTTACAATTTCATGTTGTCTAACCACAAAAACGTTACCAATGAGATAAAGCATTAAGCATGTAGAACTAAGCATTTGACAATGTATATATACTTCAAAATGTTGTTTTACAAAATTAATATACGTTTTGTCAAGTTAAAAACATATTTTTAAGACACTATAGAAGGATAACAATGTTTCAAATCTGTCTATCTCTTTTATAAACTTAGCAGAATCCTACCAAAATATAGTTTTTTTGTTGTTTTCTCATTTGTCAGTCATAACCATAGGAACGTTGATGTTCTGAACCCAGCACAGTGCATGGGAGAAACCAATGACTCTAGGGTTTTTATTTTAAGCTTGGGGCACCTGGAGTTACTGGTGTTTGTGGTAACAGTATGAAAGACACGAAAAGGGGCAGGCTTGCTTATGCTCCCATGACTGGCCACTGTGATCATGGTAAACTGGTTTGCATGCAAACTAACAGGAAATGTTTTAATCCAGAAGCTGCCATTATCTCTGAAAGTTTTAAGAGAAAATGATCAAGGAGCTCGCTACAGTTAGGTGACTAACAATATAAACTGTAGACTAAACTTCAACCTCCTAAAAATTTATTTTAAAAATGAGCGATAAATTTCTTCAAATTGTAATATCAATATGGAAAATAAGTATTATTCCAGATTTACAGGGGTCATTTTATTGTTTTGCAATCTTTAACACTGACACTTTAAAATAGAGGATTTTACATGGAACTGTAAGTTGTGCTGTAAGTACATCCTAAATAACTAAATTGAAAATTGCTCACTATTAATTCTCTTAAAAATTTAATTTTTATTATATGTGTGTTCTAGCAAATTATTTATTTGCCACACTTTGTATGAAAATCCAATCTCTTTCTCTTATGAAGGAACACCATGCTGATTTAATCCTCTCTTTGGTAGACAATGTATGTCTTTTATGTTAATTAGCCAATCTTAAAATTATATTTATAAGCAAACTTTCCAGTCAAAACCAATTTTTCAGTGCATTAAAAAATACCAATGTTATACAAAAAATTAGCCGGGCGTGGTGGCAGACGCCTGTAGTTCCAGCTACTTGGGAGGCTGAGGCAGGAGAATGGTGTGAACCCGGGAGGCAGAGCTTGCAGTGAGGCGAGATTGCACCACTGCACTCCAGCCTGGGCAACAGAGCGAGACTCCCATCTCAAAAAAAAAATAAAAAAAAAAACCAATGCTCTCCTTAAAACCTACAATATACCATGTGAAATCAACAACGAGAAAACTGTAGTCATAACAAAGAAAAATCAATGTTATTTGATTTGTGTTATTTTATTTGTGTTATGACTGTAATCATAACGCAGAAGAATCAATGTTATTTCTTTGCAATTGGTATTTTCCATCTCTGACTTGAAGTTACAAACTAACTTTAGCAGGAGTATTTATGACTAATTATGGAGCATCTGTTACACACTGAGCACTGTCATGTTTGTTTGCTACATTTATATGTAAAAGCATCTGCATGACTTATGAAGCTTCCCTAGTACTTACTGAAACAAATTGACTCAATGTCACTTATAAAAAGTTAAGGGAACAGTAACTAAAGAAAAGTAAGCTTATATAGGGTTCTAGAAGCTAATGGAATGTTTTAACTAAATAAAATGTAATAATACACAAATTGTGGAATTATGTCTAAAAATAATTCTGTGTGCATGATGAAATTTTATAAAAAATATTATTTTAACTACACATCAGCTCAGATAATAAACACTTCATAAACTATAAAACAAAAAAAGAAACAAAAAGATTATGGGTCGAGCACCAGTATCATGCAAGCAAAAACAGAAAGTTTGCATGGAAAGATTCTAAATGATAAGCTATAAGATAGTTGTATAAATTGAATACAAAGCAAAGAGTATACATCCGCTTTTAGCATTTTTGAGGATTTTTGTTTCCTAGTAAATTAGACATCTTACTAAAATGATTTATTTTGCTTCAATATTACTCTTTTCTTCTGAAAATACTTACAAATTTATAGTGAAACAAACACACTTACTCATTAAACCTAAGTTATATCTTTAGACTAAGAGACGTGTATATTTAACTCTATGTAGGTCAAAACTAAAACTCTATTATGTGTTCACAGGCAGAGGCCACATGTTCAAAAAATATACAATAAATTTTTGAAAATTATTCAGGACTCAGAAATATATTGATTTTATTTACACTTATTTACAATTTTTATCACCATAAAAATAACCATGTAGTCAATAACAATTTAATTGTACAATTTAGAATAACTAAGACTGTAGAATTAAATTGTTTGTAATGCAAAACATAAAAGCCAGGTTATAGGTACCTTATTTACCACGTGATTATTATATATTTTATGAATGTATCAAAATATGCCATATATGGCATAAATGTATACACATATCATGTACACACAAAAACTAAGAAAAATAAATTTAAATGTCAAAAAAATTTAACCTGCAGGAACCATATTATTTAACTTATTTTCAGTTTAAAGCCACTGAAAAAGAATACTAGAGATGTTAGTCTATTATGTTAGCAAATAGTGAATTGTTACTATCTTCTAAATATACCCTTGAGTAAGGTGAAATAGGTTAAAATTAGTAGCATAATAACACTTTTTCAATGTATAACAGTATTTAACATGTTATAAATGTTGAATTAAAAAATTAAAGTAACACATAACCTAAAACTTTAAAAAACGTAGTTTCATCACATAAAAGTACAATTAGTAAAATGACAGTAATTTAGTTAATTTTAACTATAATTAAGAATAATTTTATCTCATAATACTGCATTACAATATTACTAAGGGCCAGGCAAAGTGGCTCATGTCTATAATCACAGCACTTTGGGAGGCCGAGGTGGACAGATCACTTGATATCAAAAGTTCAATAACAGCCTGGCCAACGTGGTGAAACCTCGTTTTACTAAAATACAAAAATTAGCTGGATGTGGTCATAGGCACCTGTAATCTCAGCCTCTTGGGAGGCTGAGGCAGAATAGCTTGAACCTGTGAGGAGGAGCTTATAGTGAGCCGAGATCATGCCACTACACTCCAGCCCAGGCAACAGAATGAGATTCCCTCCCCCCTAAAAAAAAAAAAAAAATTACTCAGAATACCTACTTCATACATCACTCAATTCCATAAGTTAACCACAAATAGCCTTTCTACTTAGATTTTCATCATGCATCTTACATTTTAATGTCCTCAGTCATCCATAAGAAAGGTAATAAATAATGACCACCTAATAAAAGTCTCCCAAATCTTTGATGCAAAAAGAATTGATCACATTCTTTTACATGTGAATGCAACAGAAATGAAGAAATAGCATGAAGCAATTTAAGAGTTGAATTCCATCATTATTCAGTTTCCAAATAAGCTGTCTTTTTATTGGGCGTGGGGGAACAGAGTCTCACTGTCACCTGGGCTGCAGTGCACTGGCAAAAATCTCAGCTTACTGAAACTTCTGGCTCCCAGGTTCAAGTGATTCTCATGCCTCAGCCTCCCACGTAGCTGGGACTACAGGTGTACACCACAATGCTTGGCGCATGTGTATTTCTTTTTAGTAGACATGGGATTCCACCATGTTGGCCAGGCTGGTCTTGAACTCCTGACCTCAGGTGATCCGCCCACCTTGGCATCACAAAGTGTTGACCTTATGGGTATAAGCCACTGTGTCTGGCCAAAAAAAATCTGTATTTTTAAGATATAAGTATACTTTAAATTTAATTATAACTTCTCAAAATCTACTTCTTTTAAAGATATAAACAAATAATTTTTCTTTTTACCAACTTTAGTTTTGGATTTATTCCTATATTCAGCAGTCTGATTTAGTGTAATGTCTGAAATTTGAGACAGATATTTCTACTGTGAATTCTCTCATATTGACATAAACTTACTTTTGGATTAAATATTTTTTACTTTTATATATCTGCAAAAATACATTTTAATATGAACTCTTTTGTGTTTCATAATCAGTAGTTTTTGAAAAAATGTTTTTCCAAATTCATTAAATTTGCAGGGTTATTCTTCAATATAAATTCCCTGATGTTGAGCAAAGTTGGAAAAACTACCTCAGGTATTCCTGTAGTACAAAATGTGTACAATAAAATCTGTGATACAAGTAAATATACTACAACCCTCTTTATATTTGTAATGTGTTTCCTCAAAATTAATATTCTTCTGTACTTTAAGGGCTTTTATTTTCTGAAAGATCTAGTGACAGTAATTGCACTCTTAATGCTTTTATTTAGTATGAACGCTCTGATGTTTAGTAAGATGTGGGAAGATATTAGTGGCATTCACAATTTTTTTTTTCCAGACAGAGTTTCCCTCTGTTGCCCAGGCTAGTATAAATGCTTTCCTTTGCAATAAGTCATGAGCATTGGTTAAATGTTTTGCCACATGGTTTATTCTAGTAGTTTTCTCCAATATGAGTTATCTTACCTACAATCAAGTGTGACAGCTGTTTAAAGGCTTGCCACATTCTTCACATTTGTAGGGTTTCCCTCCTGTATAAATTCCCTTATGTTCAGTAAGAGTTGAGAACTAATTAAAACGTTTGCCACATTTTTCACATTTGTAGGGTTTTTCCTCCAGTATGAATTCTTTTATGAGCAGTAAGGTGTGAGGACCAGTTGAAGTCTTTATCACATTCTTCACATTTGTAGGGTTTCTCTCCAGTATGAATTATCTTATGCTCCATAAGGCTTGAGGACTGGTTGAAGCCTTTGCCACAGTCTTCACATTTCTAGTGTTTCTCTCCAGTATGAATTTTCTTATATGTAGTAAGGGTTGAGGACTGTTTAAAAGCCTTGTCACATTCTTCACGTTTGTAAAATTTCCCTCCAGCATGAATTTTCTTATGTTTACTAAAGACTGAGAACCGGCTGAAGGCTTTGCCACATTCTTCACATTTGTAGGGTTTCTCTCCAGTATGAATTACCTTATGTTTAGAAAGAGTTGAGGACTGATTAAAAGCTTTGCCACATTCTTCACATTTGTAGGGTTTCTCTCCAGTATGAATTACCTTATGTTTAGTAAGGATTGAGAATCTACTAAAGCCTTTGCCACATTCTTTACATTTGTAGGGTTTCTCTCCAGTATGAATTCTCTTATGTTTAGTAAGGATTGAGAAAGTACTAAAGCCTTTGCCACATTCTTCACACTTGTGGGGTTTCTCTCCAGTATGAATTTTTTTATGATAACTAAGGGTTGAGGACCACTTATAGGCTTTGCCACATTCTTCACATTTGTAGAGTTTCTCTCCAGTATGAATTACCTTATGTTTAGTAAGGATTGAGAACCTACTAAAGCTTTTGCCACATTCTTCACATTTGTAGGGTTTCTCTTCAGTATGAATTTTCTCATGTGTCATAAGGGTTGAGGACTGTTTAAAAGTTTTTCCACATTCTTCACATTTGTAGAATTTCTTTCCAGCATGAGTTTCTTTATGTTTACTAAAGACTGAGAGCCAGCT